CTCAAAACAAAAACCAGTAGGTGATTTTCTAAAGACATCTTCAGTACATTTCTTCTATATATATGAGCTATGATAGATGTAGACTTGGACAAAACCTGAGTAGCCAGCAGGGCCAGGGAGGTGGTTGTCCTTCTCTATCTGCCCTTGTGAGGCCCTATCTGGAGTACTGTGTCCAGGTCTGTGGCTCCCAATACAAGAAGACAGAAAGCTGTTGGAGAGGGTCCAGAGGAGAGCCACAAAGACCATCAGGGGACTGGAGCACCTCTCCTATGAAGGCAGGCTGAGGGAGCTGGGCTTGTTCAGCCTGGAGAAAAGAAGGCTGCAGGGTGACCTCATTGCAGCCTTTCAGTACCTAAATGAAGCCTACAAACAGGAGGGGAATCAACTCTTTGAAAGGGTTGATAACAGCAGGACAAGGGGAAATGGTTTTAAGTTGAGTGAGGGGGGATTTAGGTTGGATGTCAGGGGGAAGTTCTTTACAGAGAGAGTGGTGAGGTGCTGGAACAGGCTGCCCAGAGAGGCTGTGGATGCCCCGTCCCTGGAGGTGTTCAAGGCCAGGTTGGATGGGGCCCTGGGCAGCCTGGTCTAGCATTAAATGGGGAGGTTGGTGGCCCTGCATGTGGAAGAGGGGTTGGAAATTCATGATCCTTGAGGTCCCTTCCAACTCAGGTCATTCTGTGATTCTGAGTGCAGCTCCTCCTTCTGGTACTCACTGAATTCTGGAGGTAGAAGAGGAAGGGAAGGAGTACAGAGCTCCTTCTCTCTGCTGTTCTTCTGGATGAGGATCCTGATCCACTGATCTCTTTTCCTTCTGGGGACTGCCTATTATTGAAGCACAGTCTGTATGCAGGAGAAGGGTGACTTCTTATTCAAATAATGGTAGTCTTTATTCTTCTTCTGGTCTGAGCCACTCAATTGCTAATGCCTTTTCAATCTCCTAGGCTCTCTTCTCTGGTGGAAAGCAGTATTTTAAATTGAAAATCGATATTGAGCCTACGAGAGATTTTGAAAAAAAGAGCTATAATGACTCAAATGTTATTACTGCTGAAGTTAATAATAGTATTTGAAGTCTCTCTTTTAATGTTTTGTCTGTATCAGGATTTATCAGCTTCTTACAGTGAATAATCAGACTGTTTTTCTTTCTTGTGCTCATATACTGCAATTCACTGTCTTGTCTGTGATGCTTCAGTTTCTTAGCTGAATATTAATATGCTCATTATTTGTGTTAACATCAGTTACCGAGTTAAGAAATGAAACTTACTGGCTAATTACATTCGTCTTCAGAACTGGGGATTTGAGAATCGAAACACAGACACTGATAGAGGAAAAATTATTTTTGTTAGAACTAGAAATCTTTTCAAGTTCTGTGCAATTGTACTGCTTGACCTTCTTCAGATACTCTTGTCACAATGCCCCAAATTTTAACGTAGGCATGCTTTGCATTCCTTTTATTCAGTCTAACACTAACCCTGGTCATTAAGAAATTACATTTTTTCCGTGAGAGTAAATTCGTTTTGCATTCTATCCATTATCTTATGGGCTAACAATACTACAGTATTCAAGCAAGTATGCAGGATGACAGATACCTGAGGATGATTTTCCAAAGTTGGACATCCTTTATTTGCTCTTTGGATGCCTTTGACTTTCTAGCTCTTAAAAAAGCAGGCTTTGATCTCTCTGAAACAAAAGCATAGAAATTCTCAGGTGAAAGTGGGATTTTAGGAGAGGTCTTACAAAACATGAGGTTTTGTGGTATGTGTACTAAAATGAGAACTACAATGCTCTGAAAGTACTGCCTCCTATTTTATTCTGCTGACCCATGACATCAGAGGTGGATGTTGGTGGTATGGAAGTAGAGGTTGAACCTTCCCACCAATATTCTGTCACATGTTGTTGCTGTGTGACAGATGGCAGCAGGGGGACAGTCTGACCAAATAGTGACTGGCATGAAAGCGTGGATGAAGCAAAGGTGTGTTCATTCAGTTCCTGCATGCAGAAAAAAATGGTACTCGCTGACATTCATCAGTGCTCGCTGAGTGTTCATGGAGCAAAGACAGTGGACATCATGGAGCACAGTGAGGCAGTAGTGGTAGGTTTCAGCAGCATCAATAACAGGTCACCTCCACTGGTGCAGATTTTTATGAATGCAGCATGCAGGTTCTTTTTCATTGCTGGTGAAAATGCAGAGCTAATGGTGGTGACTATGTTGAAAAATAGTGCTTTGTGTCTAAGAATTTGCTTTATCAAATAGGGCTATTGTTCTCCTTGTAGCTGTTGTAGATTCCATGGAAATAAATAGGAGGCAGTACTTTCAGAGGGGCCTATGCATTGTTAGAATGTAAAGTAATTTGCTTGTGCATATGCTTAGCAGTAAAAAATTTCTGTCCCTATTAGAAAACAGTGGTTACTATTGCAGAAGTTTGACTTTCATCAAGTTCTCCTGGTAATCTGAACCAAGTGTTAACTGATTACATTGCACTCTCTGGAATAATGAATAATAATGCAGTAAACAGTGTTCTTTATAATTTGTTAATCTATATCTGATCCAGTGGACAAATATGGTCCCCAGGCTTCCAAGTGAAGGACGTGCTGATAACTGAGCAGGCTGCTCATACACTAGTTAGAGCCTGCCAAGCTAGGCTAGGGAGCAGAAGTTAATGGCTGTAGAATGCTGGAGTGGCTTTTGTGGTTAGGTTGAATGGTAGGGTGCAAGCAAAGTTAAAACACAGCAGGAACACTGGCTGGTTTTGCACTTAACCTATTTCTAAACTTCCTTATATACATACCCTGACCCTCACCAAGCAGAGTAGATCTTCAGAATAAGACTCCTGCCATGCAGTCAAAGGAAGGGAATTAAAAAATCCATCCTGTCTGCTGGATATAGCCAGTAAGAGTCAGTGTTGGCATGGCTGTCATCAGTACTCGACTTCCATGTTGGGAATTACCCTTTTCAATTTTCATCTTATTGTCTGTGTAAGGGCTTTACTGCTTGTGCACAGGATGTGCTAAAAGGCTTTTGCTGATAGGATTGAGAACAATATTAGAATTCAGTGCCCTAATAAGAAAGTTGAAGGAACTTATAACCAAATGAACTAGCTGTCAAAGGGTTTTGATATAGCTGAAATAACCAAGTGCCTGTTCAGCTTAAGTGTGGATAATTACTATTTCCTAGTTCAAACAGCTGTTCATTTTCAAGTCTGATCTCTGCTTTTCTTACATACATTTGTATGAGCTTACTTTGGTTGTTTCCAGTAAATGCACTTGAGCTGCAGCAGAAATGTAGACTTATTTTAAAATCTGATTGTCAGCTGTGTGTTGAAATTTGGTACCTAATGAGAATCTTATCATTGCAAATATTGTGTACACTTTGCTTTTTAAATAGTACTCAGCAGTTGGGCTGGAATAGATACTTACTAAAACTATTTTTTCCCCTGTAACTTACAGGAAAAAGTTGAGATATGAAGGTGATCAATCCTGAATGAAAAAGATTTCACCATGCATGTTTTATGATCTGCTGGCATTAGCGTTGGCATCATTTAGGAAACCAAATATTATTTCTAAGGGTGTCCCATACATCCCAAATTGTCAGATTTCTTTTTTTTTTTGAACAGTGATGACTAAAGACATTTTGCACACCTGCACAGCATTGGTGAGAAATAGCATGTGGCATTTCGCAGCTCTGAGCTGGACCGCAATCCTCTGACATCACAAAGCTTTCACAGTCTTTTTAAGACTTATTTGACGCACATTATTCAGACTCTTATTTTGTAAAATCCATGGCATTCGCTATGGTTTTGTGAGAGCGTATTAACAGAAGCCTTTCAAAAACGAAAGTGATTTTAAAGCTGACATGTAGGAAAAAATTGCCAGTGTCAGCAAGATGTTTGGTAATGCTACTGAACTGTGTGCATGGGGGACAGACGAAGGGCACAGCAGTTTAACTTAACTGTTCTCCAGGTAACGCATCTGGGAGTGATGTGCTGAATAGAAAATATGCTTGAGGTACAGAATCCAAACCCTTGCTTGTAGAGGAATGAGTATACAGCACTGCAAATGCAAAATCAACTTATCTTGTTTATGCCTAATAAGTTTTGTAAGTGCCACTTTCCTTTCACCTGGAGGTGTTATTCCATGTATATATGCTATAGCTCAGTAACAAATTTCAGAAATTTTCCTTTAGAGTAACGTTGTGGAAATAGTTTGCTGAAGAAGGAACTTCAGCTTCACTCTGCTACCCTGGTGCAGAGTGCTGTTGTTCACACTGCTGCTGGGTTTCAAAAAAAAAAACCAAAAAAAAACCAAAACTAAAAACTATTTCCGACCCTTGGTCCCTGGGAAGGAGATTAGAGAACTGAGCAGAAGTAGGTGACTTTTGCTCTTTGAAGGCTGTGGGAGTGCCTATACTTAGTAGCTTTCCATCTTGCACAGTGCTCTGTTCAGATCTGTTTGCTAGTACACAAGTATGTGCAAGAAAAAAGGCATGTCTGTCCCTCTGCTTCCCATGCACTCAGTCTGAGGTAGCTCTTCATGTCACTGACATTTGAGCTGTGCACCTACATGCTACTCTGAATCTATCATTTGGCATGAAAATGGAGGAATTTCCTATTGTCTTCTCTTAAGAAATCAAAGTAGTTGTTTGCTGTCAAATATTAACTTCAGTTTCAGAAAGGAAAAATACTTTTTAAATATGAAAAGTGAGAATATCTCATGGTTGACAAGGACAGCATGCTTATTAAAGTTAGTGAAGTGTGAGTAAGGCTAGCAGAGCTGAAACTTGCAATACAAAGAGCTGAAGAATCTGTATTAAGGCTGGAAATTTTTTTGGTGCATGTGCAAGGGCAGGTTGTTTGAAGTTAAAATAGTCTTGTTTACAGTGACTAAGGGCGTAGAAGCAGGATCAGCTTTCTGATAAGGCTTTTTTTTTTTTTTTTTTTTTTCCAGGTATGGTACATAGGGGGTAAGAGAAACAGGAGCACTTTAATAACTGAAAGGAGGGAGAACAGTGAGCTGAGTACATTGTGCTGAAGGAACGTTTTATGCAAAGAATTTTTTTCTATTATTTTTCATGGTGCGTGGGCTTACACTGGAAGATCTTTCTGAGAGAAGGCAGGAGAATTCTGATAGCTGGTAAGCATGTTAAACTTCAAATGAAAACGTTTGAACAACTTTACAGCAGCTGCTAGCAAGCTGCGTGGAATAAAAAATAGAATAAAATCCAGTGCTTCTAAGAGGGACCACTGTTTTTAGCATAAACTCTTGTTTTCTTCAAGTAGGTAGAAAGGAATTAGATATAAAGGATATGAATTTTTCTACGATGCTTTATGAATTAATCTTTTATTTGTTTATTTTCCAAACAGCAGTGGGTCAGTGATTACCTATTTGGGAGATGAGGGCAATCGATGCAAATATTACCTAAAAGTTCCCAGAAAATAAGGAACACCTTTAAATAATTAAAGAAGAGAGTTGGGTACTAAAATCTACCATTAATAAAATAAAAACTTCTCTAAGAGAAAGGTGTCTAATGGTCAGTGTCTGCTGGCTCACAGTGCTCTTATTACATGGGCATCTTCAGTGAGCTGTCACACTGTTGTGCCAAGCAGAATGGCTTCCCCATGCATTTGCTCTGTCATGGTATTTTACCATATAGCAGTTTTTATAAGCAGCTTTTATTGTAGTCATAAAATACTCCCTATGTATAAAATAGTGGGCCATTGTAATCTTTAATGTGATTTGATGGACTGAACTTGATGTAGGCATTTGGATATGGTTGGATATGAATATCATTTCATTTTAGGCATTTGGATATGATCAATACCTTCAAGTATTAAACCTTCATTTGTATAATGTTATTTTTTCAGAGATTAAGCCTGACTTTCTGTTGCTCATATTAACAAATAAAGGTCAGGATCAGTGCCTCTTAGCCGCTGCTTTTTGTCTTTCGTTGGATATAACCATGTCTGCCATGTGGAGTTTATGGACCTAGGGAAAAGGACTGCACAAACTGAGATTATTCTTCAGGATTACGTGTCCTCATGTCTTAAAGGTCCCTTCCAACCCAAACCGTTCTATGAGTCTCTGTGTGTTTAAATAATGTTGCCTGCCTGCCCTGTTAACAAAGTGGCTGTTTTGCATGCGAGACCAAAGATATTGAACTGAGACAACAAAGCCACCGGTGTTTTATCATTGGCTTTGGAATACATTCTGTTGATGATAACATGAGAGACAGGCTGGTTTTATTTTAGATAGCATATTAATTTGAGTAGAAAATGTGCATATTTGTCTACTAGATGGAAACAGTGAATTTTGATACTGAAGATGATAGTTAATGCATATCTGGTATTGTAAGGTAACTCAATAGATTAAGGAAAGGTTTCTGGCAGTAAATTTTCCTATCCATTTTTATTCCTCCCCTCCATTAAAATTCAGAAGGGACTTGCATTTACCGTTGTCACAGAAATCAAATCTAGAAATGTATCAAGAACCTCAAATCTTTTCTAAAGTTGAAGCTTTTGAAATAACCCTTTGCAAATGGTTACTGTAACCTTGCTTATAACAGTTTAGGGCAGTACGCAGGTCTCCCTCTGGCTGATTGTTCTGTAGGTGCATTGTCCAACAGCATCTGTTGCCTTCCACAGTCTCAAGGAACCAGCATGTGATGCAGCATTTTTGCTGTGCTGGACCCTTTTCCACTGAGATTCTCCTTCTGTTCCTTTTTTTTTTTTTTTTTTTTTTTTTTTCCTTGCTCCAGTGCTGTGTAGGATGAAAACAAGCTCTTTCTGTTATGAACAAATGGAATAAATACTGAAAATATAAAATGAAAATGCAGAATGGTCAACTGTTGTTTTATATGTATGTTTGATGAGATCCAGGTACATCTGAGTACTCTGAAAATAAGCAAATTATTCACTGCCAAGTGCTTAATTTAGTAGAAGACTACCATGTTGTTCTGGTGTTGTGGTTACAGTGATTATGAATATAGTATAATGTATAAAACTTATGACAAGAATCTGATTTTTGAAATCTAAAGCTAAATTTTATTCAACTTCAATTAAGTTAATTTTATTTATAACAAAGTTAATGTTACAGCACTATAACCTGAGAAGCTCCTTAGAGATGGTAAGCTCTTTCTACATGGTAGGAGAGGCAGCCTGGTATCTGGGTTGGTGATATACAGTTCTTTTGACCATGTTGAGGAACACAGTGAGTTAAATGGAGCTTGTGTCTCCAAATGCTGCCCTTACCCTATCTGTTTGTTACCAAAGAAAACTGTTTTGCATACTTCCCTGTATCTTCTTTTTGTGTGTGTTTGTTCCAGTGAAGTGCCTCACTGAGCACTGCTTTTAACCAAACACAACACAGAGAGACATGAGGAAGATCTTCACCTGAAGGGAATGTTCATACGTTGACCTTGTTTGAACTTTTTTGAAATGCTTTAGGGCTGGTTTACAGTCAGTAATCCAGATTCTAATTTCACAGAATCACAGAATGGCCTGAGTTGGAAGGGACCTCAAGGATCATGAAGCTCCAACCCCCCTGCCACATGCAGGGCCACCAACCTCCACATTTAATGCTAGACCAGGCTGCCCAGGGCCCCATCCAACCTGGCCTTGAACACCTCCAGGGACGGGGCATCCACAGCCTCTCTGGGCAGCCTGTTCCAGCACCTCACCACTCTCTCTGTAAAGAACTTCCCCCTGACATCCAACTAAACTGACGTTTAGTTTAACTGTGAATCGTTTGCAAATATTCTGTGCCTGGTAATGCTATGGTTCAGTAGAGGTGATCGTGTTGACTAAATTGGCCATGTGATAAGAAAAGGTGAGGGGTTTAATACTTAATCAGCTGGATGACGCCCGGTCTTTTTTATGTTCAAGGTGAAAGAAATACGGACAGTCAGAAAGTACATTTGCTCCCTGTGGAATTCATTTTTCTTTTTGAAAGGTCTCCTTTTCACAGATTAATTAACTGTGTAGATGCTAAAGATCCTATTCATACCATAAATTGCCCACATTTAGCTGTAGCTCAGCATGTTCATTTTCTATCTTAGTTCAAAGCCTAGAATGAAAATGCACCAACTTACCTGCATACTTCTTTCTTTGTGAGTTGCGAACTTGGAGCTAGAAAGCAATGGTTAAAAATTGGAATTTGAGCTTAGGCAGTCAGTGGAAGTGGATAAAAATGATTACAGCTGGTGGAAGACCCTTACCCTTTTAGTGTCTGAAATTCCTTCTGCTGTAATCCCTGTACTGTTCTCTTCCCTTGGAGATTGCAGCTACTTATGCTGAATAGTGAAATAGTGGATGTCTTTACAAAAACAAAACAAAACAAAAAACCTAGTGCAAATGCATCCTTCTTGTTGTTTTCCCAGGTTTTAAGTCACTCAGTGCAGTCTCTGAAAGCTTAGTGAATCCTTTTCATGAAATGCTGATGGTTGGCAGAATAAATTTGTCTCAGCTTCCTCCTTACTCCTGAGCAGCATGAAAATGAATGAAACATGTTGATGGCTATATTTTTGAACGTAAGAAGCAGGTGTACCTGCTAAGCATGCTTGACTCTAAGTAGGAACAAACAGGCCAAACCAGTATGTTGTTTACTGAATCATGTCCAGTATTAGTTTAAAAAATAAAAGGAAGATTTAGTTGTTCAATTGTTACATGTGTCACTACACTAAAGCTACTTAAAAAGCATGCATCATCTATGCCAATATCTTGTTGCCCACCTGAAAACATTGACCTGACTGCTAAAGTTAATCCTAGTTCTACTAAATCATCACACTGAGTGATCAGCCATAGCCCTCAGCATGGTGACTGTAATTCTGAAGATGCCCTGGAGTTCTCAGAGATAAATGGTGTCACACAGTACTGCGTGCTGGGGGATATTGCTGGGCTGATGATTTCAGATAACTGAAGTCTTCTTTTCGTCCTCAGACAAACAGATGCAATTGCAGGCTGGCTGACTGCTGTGAAATTCCAGGGATATTAATTGAGAGTTGTGTTTTCAAATGAAATGGAAAAACTGTATATTTTAGGTTGCATTAAAATAAAAGCATCAATATTTTAACAGGAATTTATTCATGTTTTAAGCTTAAAAACAAACTACAAACACATCGTTGTAGGCATTTAGGATCTTGACCAGATAGTGGGTCTATTTTAAACACTCGAAATCTATGTTGACAGCATAATTTCTGAATTTTTATTTTATTCAAAAATAATTACCTGCTCTGTATAGCAGGCAATGCAATTTTGAAAGGATCAAGACTGTTAATAGCTTATTTATTCAAAATGGTAAACTTCCCTTTCAGTGTTTTTATTCATATATTTACTTTTCATCTCAGAAGCAAATCATAAGCCTTCAGAAGTTTTGCAGATTTGTCCTTTGAGAAAATATGTTTGACCTGTTTGTGGTTGTTTTATGACAGGTATTGTTTGCTTAGAAGACAATTCTGGAGGTAAAAGAAACCTGGAAGGGTCATTATCCCTCCCTCTTCATTCAAAAAAAACCCAGAAGAATGTTACTGTGTTTTATTTACCTGGTATCTCTGTTACTAGACAAATGGTCATTGAAAATTCACATTGCTGCATAAACCACTTCCACGGGGCATGGTGGACAAGATTAAATATGTATATAAATATATATATTTTCTCAGAGTATTTTCACACCGTAGGCTGTAAATTAGAGAAACCAGAACTACCTGAATAGTTGTTCCATTTAGGCTGCTCTTGCTTGTTTTGAGAAATCTTTAGCAGCATTGTGCTGAAAAGGCATCCTGTAAAAAGATTGGCCTTGTGTGCAATGAGAACAAAATATCTGAGCTGCAGGGCTTCTCCAAAACTTTTTGATACAATCTCACTACTCCAATACTTGTGAAACTGAGAAGTAGTAACTGGAAGTTGTGATAAGTCTGCCTGTCTCCTATGGAAATGACTTCCTCCTTCAGCCAAACAAGCAGAGTAAGATAAAGCATATTTGCAGTGTGTATTTGCAGTAGAGATGTGTTGTTTTACAGATAAACTGTCAGGGATCAGCTGTCTTTATAATAAAAGACTTTTTAAAATAAAGTCATCTGATGGTCCTCAGATGTAGGTTACACGAGAACTCTGTTTTTGATGTCAGTTGGCGTTTTCCCA